TTGCCCGCTCAAGCAGGTGAAACAGCCTCACAGCCTGCAGGTCACAGTGTGGCTGGGGCTGTCTTCTGATTCTACACACACACTGGGAGCGGAAGTGAGACGGTCGAGGCAGAATGCAAACGTTCAGGGGCTTTCGTGTCTCTGAGATCTAAAACCATGTAGCATTGTGCACTTCTCCACTCTGTTCGCTCTGAGTTCACAGAAATGTGTATTTCTAGGTGCACTGAGAGCACATCCCGAGTGTGTGTGTCCATGGGTGTTGAATTTCTAGGTGCACTGAGTGTACATCCCGAGTGTGTGTATCTGTGGGTGTTGAGATGGGTGTGTTTTCAGACCTGCCGTCTTCCCGTAACTGACTTTGTGAGATTGGGCAAATGACATAACCTCTCTGAACCTCACTTCCCACACATCAGTTAAAAACCAAGGCTGATTTCTCTGGCCCTTCTCCAGTTCTGAAGTACTCCAGCCTTGTGGTGGTGTCTTAGCTTAACGATATGAGAAGAAATTGGGGCAGGGGAAAGTGAGGCTGCCCATAGTTATGTAGCCCTAGACGATATATAAGCATGCATATATAATTATTAGAATGCATATTGACATTCTATATACCATCATATAGTTTATATTATATATACTATACATATAGTATATTTTATATATTATATATACTATACATATAGTATATTTTATATATTATATATACTATACATATAGTATATATAATATACATGTGATATATAATATTGAACAATATTTCCCAACATTAAATTAGCCAGCAGATGGTTAGGTTTGCAATTAGGGAGATTTATTTCACCACCTGCAAGGGGCTTCAGGAAGGGTCACATTCAGTACTGTCACTTTGAAATCCTAATGACCCCGCAACCTAAAGGTTAGACTCTGATACCAGGAAAAGTAAGCTGTTCTCTACACACATTGATTTCTTTTCCATTGTCATAAAACAGTAACAAATCAAGGAAAGAAAACCCCATATTTTTATGTCCAGATTCATGCAGGGAGTATCCCATTGACTAGCCAACATCTCCTGAAATACAGATGTCCTTTCAAAATTGACTATATAAAATTCTTATATGCTTTTAGAAGAACCACAATTTTATACGTGTATATACGATATATATATATATATCTTTTTTGTATTATGCTTTTGCATAGATTTGGCTCAATGGCGCATCATGACAGTCTTCTGAGTATATACCTTCCCCATTTTTCTGCTGAGAATCTATCAGGAAAACTAGTAAACCCCTATCAGAAACGTAGACTAATATGTAGTTGACTGCCAGAAAATTCTTTATTCTCTCTAACCACAAATTTCCAAGAAATGGTGACAATTTAGCCTTATCTAGTTTCTTTAATGGAAGATCATATATTATATTTCTGTTACTTACAGCCACAGATCACAATGGTGTCTTTAAAAAGGCAGCTCAGTTATCAATGAGATATCCATACCTGCTCAGTTTAGTTTGTACAGCAGAAAAGTGAAAGCTGGTCTCACTATCCGTCACAAAATATAACATTTAAGGCTGCCCTAGTGAGCAGCCAACCCCAAAAACAACAGAAATGCCTTTGGAATGAAGTAAAATTTAGCAAATGGCATTGACTTATTTGTATTACATATACTTTTTCACCTTTTTTGGATTTTTATGACTCTGCATACATAGTAAAATTCCAACCAAGTACTTTTCTTTTTTTCAAAAATGAGAAAATGGTAATAGAAGAATTTAGGACGCTTTTCAACTCTGCTTAAGATTAAGATGTCCCAGTGTGAAATCCTGACATGCCCACTACTTTAAGCACCGTCCTGTAAACATTCACAGTTGACTTCAAACATGCTGAAGAAGCCAAGCTGCCAGCATGCAGGTGTTCAGAGCTGCATCCCGGTTCTACCCAAGGGCTTGACCCAGGGTTGAAGTCCCTGCTGCCCTCTAAAGCCCAGTACTCAGTGAAAAAGAAGAAAAGTGAATTGGATAGTAGACATTTTCCATAGTCCTCTATTTCTAATTCAGGGGGCAAATGAGCCTTTTAATTGAACACAGATACAGGAAACTGAAGACATAAAGTATTCATTTTCCCCAGCTGGAAAGTTCATATCGGAAGTTCCTATATTTCACGCAAAATATTGCTATCTGGCACATGAGGTCTGATGGTTTCAGAAAGTAAGAATTAGATGTTCCTTTGATCTAGCTTGTAAGTGCATCCGAACCACACCTTGAATATGATAATGCTTCTCATTTCCCCTGTGCCTTGGTGTTACAGCTCTCCAGCACCACTGTGACCCTGAGGGTCAAGACCCCCTACTAAGGCAATAATGTTCCTACTTACTCCCAGGAACACACGTGGGGAGAGTAGAGTGGGCTCTTCCCCAATCCTCCAGCATTAAACTCAGCCCTGAGACTCCCAGGGCTTAGAAAACAGCTTAGACTGAAGAATTGTTTTCTCCGGGAGTTATGCCTGAACACTTCTGCTAAAGCAGACAGTCATCAGTTAATCTCTATAAATGACTACAATTTTGGCAGGTATCAGCTGGTATAGAAATTGCTCACAAGTTAAAGCTCTCATTTCTTAGTTTATGGTAATGAGGGGGACTAATTAAAACAAAAAACAAAGAAACAAACCAAAAAACCTCACGTTGTGCCTGACCACAGGACTGGCTTACCTGAAATGATGATTCCTGTTGGGTGTCTCCGTGGCACAGGTCCCCACGCTTGCTGGCTAAGAGAGACACAACTGGCAAGAGCCTTTCTTCCAAGGCTGATTGTGGACTCGACCACGTCAAGTGCTGTGTATTCAGAATGACCTCGCTCACATCACTCCCCTGTCCTTGAAACAGTGTTCTTCAAAAATGCCACTAAGTGCCCGAGGAATGTGAAGTTTTGAAATGAACACAAAACCTGCCAGCAGCCTTTGCCGACTGGCATTATTTCTGAGGCAGACAGCTCTCCACAACCATTTGTCCTGCCTTCTTCTTTCCCCTAACTCGTAACGCCAGGCATTAGATTGTGGTAGGAGGTTAAAGGGCTGAGTTATTATGTTTTGAATGGTTGTTCCATTGGAACTGTTTGTTTTTCTGCAAGAAAACTGCAGATTCTTCAGTTTGATCATCAGGAAGCCAAGGATCTATGGCAGAGATAAGAGGAGGGAGGAGCTAAGGCAGGCTTCATCCAGAGGCACTGAGTCACACCATGACTGACCAACACAGGGCGTTCTAGAAAAAAGACATTTTCATACTTCTGAGGGAAAGGGATGATGGGAGTTGCTCCAAGACCTGGCCCCATGGCCTTTCATCCACAAAGCCGGTGCTTAAAATACTCAGCCGAGAACAGGCCTCCCACATGTGTGCTGACCTGCGTGACTCAGGCTGTTTGCGTTCAAGTCCCCTGTTGTGGGCTGGAGCGCTGAATCAGAGTCCAGATTTGCCTTGGTGACACATGACAGGAGGGGGCGTTGCATTTGAACTACGCAAATATTATGCTTAAGTATTTTTCCTCATTTTGGAGCCAAACAGGTCTCGTTAATGATAAAATCACTGCAATATAGTGGGCCCTTTTTTTCTGGTCTGGAATTTGAGACAGTGTCAACTGTGCCAAGGGGCCTGGCAGCAGGAAGAAATGGCCAGCCATGGAGATTTACAGCCATAATGCAAGTTATACCATTTAATTTTATAATCGTAGCCATCGGGAGCTGGACTACAGTGCACTTCTCGTGGTCTGCTCTTACCCCAGGCTGTGGGAGTGGAATCAAGGGAGCCTCTTTCTAGTCTAGGATTGGGTCAGGGCACGTGAAAGAGCACTTTATGGGGGCAGCGGGCAGGCTGCTTCTCAGTCTGGCTTTGGGGACACTTGACAATAGGGAACAGGGGTTGTGCAATTGATCGAGGACTCTTTATTGGAACCATAAGGCTGAGGAAGCAGCAGGCCATTGTTTTTAACAGAGAAATGAATGGCCCAGGCCTCCTGTGGCTGCCTCCCTGCCTTGGAGCCTCAGCTGTGCTTGACAGGACTGGCTCTGGTTTAAGGACATTTTGAGAAAACCATAGGCCCCAGTCCCCTGTGAGTGGCCTCTGCTTGCCGCTTCCTGGTGACAGTTGTTTTGGTGAAGAGCATGATGAGGACACTTGTTATCTGTATAGACACTGAGGGGCCCACCATCCCATCCCACCCGTCCTGAGCCCCCTGGGGAAGCTCACCAGATAGGCCGCAGCTACCCCTGGGCTCCAGGGGGCCTATTCTGCTGGGAATATTGGACAAGACACAGGCAAGGCCTTCCTGTCAACTCCTTCTTAAGGGTACACAGGGGAGTCGGCTTTGGGGAAGAAGGAATGCTTGTGAAAAGCCTGTGAGGAGAGGGAAAGGGAGAGGGGCTGAGGGGCTGAGGGGCTGAGGATGCCCTGCATGTGCCTGGAAATCTGACCTCCGCAGGGGCTGGGGGTTTGCAGCCACGCCTCGTTTCCTCTTGGACGGAGCCCTGCCAATAAGCTGCAGGGCCCACTTTGCCGCCTCTAAAGCCAGTCGGTGGTTGGGTTTGCAGTAAGGAACAGCCGTTCTGATGCCCCTGGGAGGCCACCTTTCCTGGCTGCCATAGCATAGCCCCTGGCATGTGGCCATGTACCAACAATTAATGCACCTCTTTTCCTCCCGGCATCATCACCACCACCACCAAGTTCCGTATCCCACTGAGTTGTGCCCGTTGGAAGTGGGTGTAGAGGGTTGGGGAGGGTGCTGAAGCCCAGACTGGGGGAGCACTCTGTGGCCAGGGCAGTGAAAGGGGGCCCGTTCTGCTGAGAGGACAGTGGCCCCAAATTCCCACTGGCGGCTAGCCCAATGGGCAAATCTCTACCAAGTCTATGTTGGGGTGAGGGGAGAGAGGGGAAAGACAAGAAAAGCCCCAATTTTAGGAAATCCACAATACTGTTTCTGATCTCTTCCCTCCCTCCTTCCCTGCCTCCCTTCCCTCTTCCCATCCCCTCCCTTCCCTGCTCCCCACAATAGGACATCGGCAGAAACTAGATGATCAGACCAAGCCCGGGAGCTTGTCCTTTTCCGAGCGGCTCAGTGAACTGGAGCAGCTGCGGCGCACAGCCATGAGGGTCAGCCCACACCACCCAGCCCCCACGCCCAACCCTCGTGCCTCCCTGAACCACTCCACTGCCTTTAACCCTCAGCCTCAGAGTCAGATGCAGGGTAAGTACCAGACGGAGCCCACCACCCACAGCTGGGTCCCACGTGCAAACACCCTCCCAGACCCACTGGGGTTTCCCCTTGATGCTCAGAGAAAGGCCTCGAACCAACAGCACCACCTGGGAGCTGTTGGAAATGCAGAGTCTTGGGCCCCACCCCAGACCCACCAAGTCAGATCTGCCTTGCAACCAGATCCCCACAAGGAAAAGCACTGCTACAGAGGATACGAGGAGCTCTGGGTATGGATATCCATATTGGATAGATAGCTCTCTTGAATTTTTTAAGAGTTAGCTTTGGCTATGCTATTTTTTTACCTACCCATTAGACTTGAACACACACACACACACACACACACGTCAAGCAAGGTGAAGATGGGGATGTTTCAAGTTCTCGCTATTGCCAGATTATTTGTGGGTTTTGTATCTAGTGTTTTTTTGTTATTATTATTAAGAAATAGTAGAAATATGTGGATGCCATCACATCAAGGGTGTTATTTGCATATCAATATAGAATGCAGGTCCCCCTATCCCATGGGGCTAGCTGGCAATTATTAAAGCACTGTAAGATGCAATAATTGCCTGAGGCCCACTGTGCCCAATTAGATAATACAAGAAGTTCATTTACACTGTAGAACCAGTGACGTCAATGACTGTTTGCTCTGTGATACCGTTTCAGAAATCCAAAATGCAGACTTTTCTCTGTGCCATGCAGGATGCAGCTGTGTGTGATATGGTTTACAGTGATATTTCTTTCTCAAAGTAGCAGGCTTGTTAAGGAAAAGATAAGCAACACATCTGGGGGAAAGGGCAGGTGGCCAGCAATCGATGTGGGAGCTCCTTGCCCCTCTCGGACAACAGGAATTAGCTTCCCCAGGCATTTTCTGTATGTGAGTTGTATTGTGGGATGGACAAATATCATCTATTCTTTTGGGTGTCCAGGCCAATAGCTCTCTATTTTGGGTTAAAACATGGGTTCTCAAAAGGCATGCCCACTGTCTCCCATAGAGCTTGACAGCCCATGCCATTCGCTCTCAGTTAGGTTTCTGGGGGAGGCTCTTTTACTGAATTGGAAAATTTCCAAATAAATCTTCCAAGAAGGTAGTATGCACACAGCTAAGTGGCCTATCTGTGGAGTAACCCTTTTGTAAACAAACAGAAACCTAAAGCTTGATGTTTTGGGGGGCTGCCTGTCATCTATAGGTTCATTTAGGTATATTCAGGAAGAGGATCCATGAAACCATTGGTTTCCTGTTACATAATAATCATTAATAATGACTTAAAATGTGTACATTGATTTTTTTAAATTCCAAAATACAAGCATATGTGGCAAATTAAGTCAAATGGTTTGTTAAGTGAGCGAGATGGGCTTGGGGCGAAACAATACTTTGCTTCCAAAGAGGATACAGCTCTCAAGGAGATTCTTTCATCTTGCCTTTAAGGTCATTTAAGCTAATTCTCATCATCTATTCATGTGTAAAATCGAAAGGAAGACTGTTTTCTTAGTCTCTCATTGCCTAAGTGGCCATTTATACTACTAGGTTGATGAAGGGATTTGCCTTTTTCTGCTGATATGGGAACAGAAAGTCTGAGCATTTTTAAAGGCAATGGAAAATTCAGCCCCATGGGGGAAAATCGAAATTGTCACCATTGAGTTGCTCTGTTTTTTGGTGAAGAGTGAATCTAATCTGATTTCCTTCTTCATCAGATACGCCTCTTTAACAACAACAAAAAAAAATGGGGGCAAGTTGCGCATTGAATTCTCATCCCGAAGTTCCTGGGCAAAAGCATTATGGTGGACCATGTGATGGGCATTCGTCAGCTCTTTGGAGTCCTATATGCTTAGCAGAGGATCAGGTTTAACACTAAGCATCGCCCCTGTTTTGTTCCTCATGAAAACTTTTTACTTCTGCAACATTGAAGAAATCATAACTCCCTTTTAGGGTTCCCTAGGGGCTTGGTTGCTACTCTGAAGAATGTGTGAACTATATTGCTTGTGTTCTTTCGTTCCAAAATATGAATTTGATATTTAGTACTTCACTTGTAAAACTTTAGGAGCAACTTTTGAAAAATAAGTATCCAGAATATTTTCATGTGAAACAACTTTTCCTTTTCCTTTTGTTGTTTCTTTCCTATAAGAAAACGCTGTTTTCCACTAATCATGTTTTGAGTAGACCCTTGGGCTCTTTCTCTTGAAATTGGAAAGTTAACAGGCGTAATATGCAAGTGTTGTTCAGCCAAGACCTTCAGTTTGTTCTTGACATGTAGGAAAATGCTTATTTTCCAGGCTGAGCCCTGAAGTTTCTATGTTATATTTACAAAGATACTTTAAGAAATACAGCATGTGTTTACGGCTGTCTTTGAAATGGCAGTGGTAGTATTCAGAAAAATATCCAATTTGTCAGAGCAGTTCTACAGCGGTGCTGTCCAGAAGCATGAATGTTTTTCAGCTTTACAGAAATGTCAGTAACTGGGGGTTTGGAGAGCTTGCTGGGATTTACAGAGAGGCTCAGGAACCCTACCTTGCTAGGACTTTATTGGAAGGGTTATGCCAGCTCCTCTAACTCTGTCAGCAAGAAAATGCTGATATAGAATAGCACCAATACTTACCTAGAATCACATGTACTGGAGGGTCACTCAAAATAGACATCTCAAATTATCTGAAGCATGGTACAGATTGAGAGGGGGCAGGTTGCCATGCCACTAAACCACTGTTTATTTGTTGAGGTCTTAACTATTAAAGGGCTGAGGTTTATTTCAACTTCCTATTTTACCAGGTCTTAAACTTGACTAGAAAGCCATTTTGTCATGAGTAGACCCTTGGGCTACACGTTTCTCCCAGTCAAGACACCATCGTTAACTTCTATGACCCAAGTCTTAGAATTCTTTTTTCATTTATTTCAAAAGATAGAACAGGGCAGATTCTAGAGCTGGTGGTACTGATGCCTGTTCAGTCACAACTCTCACCTAGAGAGGGGTTTGGGCAACCCGAGTGAGTGATTTTAAAATTTCACCCCTGATTGACCAAATATGATGTATCACATTTAAGGTGTCGTAATTTCCTCCTTTCTGGGAATATGAGGATGGAGTAATAGATGCTGGTACAGAAAACTGAAACCTAGATAAACTAGGAAGCCCGTTTTGTTGTTCTTCTGCATGCTGGTTGTCATAAACATGTAGGAGGAAGGTTTAACTCTATTTTTTTTTTTTTTTTTTTTTTT